ACATTTCGAGTGGAAGTGTTGCATGAAGAAATTCGAAGCTCGGTTCGACCAGAAGACGACGGCCGATTCCTCTTGACCAACTGTCGACTGACTTTTCTGAAACACTCTCTTTTTGACACGGTTTCCGAGGCAACCAGTTGTCGATTGGCTTTACTAAAAGATTCATGATGACGCTGTTTTCGAGGCAATCTGCTTCGATTCCGGTCAAAAGGTGCTAAGCTTTCGACCGTCAAATGACGGACATCATCCGAGCAAGATATCATCGTCACAACACAATTCAAGCCGACGAATCTCTTCACACAACATTTCCACTCGAAATGGAAGTTAGCTCAACAATTATTAAAAAAAATGAAATTTGTTATAACTTTGCAACCCATAAAATCTTATGGTTTTGATATACTCTCAAAATGGGGGCCTGTGTGCCTCTGCACATCAACATTTACATGCAAATCTCTGCGCATCAACAAACTTGACAAACTTCCAAGGGTCTCTTGGTCAACCTTGCCAGGTCTCAGGGATCTGTTTTGTTTGGGGCCTACTACTGGCATTGTTGTAGGCGGGACTCTTTTTTTGTGCATTCTGGCCCTTTGCGTCTCACATGCGAACTGTGCTCATTTGTCACATGTCCAGGTACTCGTCTAATGGATACGGTTGCCAACGACACTTGAGTCCACATTTGGGCTTTTCTGTACCTTATTTACTTATAGTCTTGCATGTCTCAACGTAGCCGACTGCCTGCCTCTTGTTCTTTGCACAAATAGCCCCAGACATGTCAACAGCCGCTCCTCCTTTGTCTCTCCTCAGCACAATTTACTCTTTTCCATTCACTCGACTGGTCCTAGACGGTACGTCTACGTGACTCTTAATTAAAAGGAGGCCCAGCAACTCAATTCCACTCTTTTACTCTATTCTGGCAACGTCTGTGTAGATATTGTGAATTGCTGGAAATTTTCTTTTATCTTATTAGTGCTCTCTGACACTCACTTCACTCCTATTCTCGCCTTCATTGTTACTTCCAACTTTCTACCTTTTTTTGTCCTGCCTACTTATATGCTTTTGAGTAGTTGGCTGTAATTCAAAGAAGTCATAAGAGTCAAGAGTGTGGCCCAGTGATTGACCTTAATCTGGTTTTCGTCCTTATCAAAGAATCCGATATAATATGAATTTATTTACTTTGAAACTGGACTGCATATTTGGATACGTTGTGAAGGAGTAGTGCAGTTCTGTTGGGCAATTTAAGTCTGCCTAAGCTTCAAGCTTCATTGATACTTGCACCACAGAATGTGTTATTGGCAAAAATGCTTGGATTTCCTTAAAATACACGTCTGATCTGTGACGTAAGGTCACTCGTGGCAACGTGGAGTAGTGGTTAAAGTGTGGAGAGTACACGCTGCACTGACATGGTTCGAGGCCGGCT